GCACGCGGTGGGGGGGGGGGGGGGTGGGGGGAGTTCGTTATCGTGATGTCGGACTCTGTTGAGTCACATCGCGTCAAATGGAAATGCGTCGATAGTAAATGTTGCTGTATGTTAGTGCTGTACTAGTAATGAATTGGCACGTTCTGTGGTGCATAGAAGTGTCGTGTAGTGTCCACCATACACTACAATTGTAAATGTTGTGAATTTGCTCTCCTCCCCCACCACCGCCCGCACCTGACGTTTTGTTTACGGTGAACATTCCCCGTGGGTCTCCACTAACGATGTTGAACGTGAGGCCCTTGCCCTGGGGCACGCTGTCCTTGTCTGGGTCCCAGGCTTTCACTTGGAATATAACGGAATGAGAGTTCTCCATAGCGTCGGCCTGGTACCACGTCTGCGACACCCACGGGGGGTTGTCGTTCACGTCCTTGGGTGGGGGGGAAAACCACACACGGTACTCTCATCGTGCCGTTTTCAAATGCAGCGGTGCATACGCACGTGTGAGTGCGCGCGAGTTTCTGTACCTGCACCTCCACGTAGATGTGCAGTGCGGAGAAGCGTTGGAAGACTCCGCGATCCGTAGCGCGCACCTCGAGCCAGTAGCTTCTCAGCACCTTCAATATGTACATCCCCCAATCATCGCGCTTCAGCCTCTTGACGAGCATCACAGCGCCGCTCGTCGGATGCACGGCGAACATGTGATGTGCCAGGGCGTAACGGAAGCGCCCGTTGGGGCCCTCGTCAGCGTCCGTGGCGGTGACGCGAACGACGACGGTGCCCGCCGGCGCGTCGTCGGCGACGAGGAGGCCGACGGTGCTCGCCGGCGCGTTGAAGTCGCTCGTGCCGTACGATGACATCGAGAACAGCGGGCTGAATTCGTTGCGGTCCATCACCCGGACCAAGACCGTGATGAACGCCAGACAAAGGCGGCTCCAGGTGACCGCCCTTATCCTCAGTACGTAGCCGCGGCGCTCCTCGCGGTTCAACGACACATTCCCCGTGCGGATGCGCAAGATTAAAGTGTCACCCAAGTGCAACCCCTCTGCCGTGAACCCGGCCCCCTCATCCCCGGATACGATGGAGTACGTGGGTATGAAGCCCGAGCGGCCGATGTAGAACCCCATCCTGCTGTGGCTCTCCACGTACGTCCTGGGCGCGGAGTTCTCGTAGACGGTGGCACTGTAGAAATATCTGGCTAAGCACAAGGGCGGCTCCGGCTGGCCGCCGCACGGCGGCAGCAGCAGCAGCAGCGGGAGGAGCGCCGACGCCATCTTGTCGAGCGTCATGGTCTGCACTCGAGAGGCAATGACGACAATGACGACACCGAGCAGCGGTCGGAAAGGCGGGTGCCGCGAAAGTCTCCGGGTTCATTCGGTGCTCCTAACGGGGTATCGGTCCTCCTTCTCCTGTAACATGTCAGATCAAGACCAACCATAAACTAAACAATTTTTATGTTTGCCAGGCAAGGCACCCCCCACCGAGGTACCGGGTAGCGCTTTTTCAGTAGCGAACTGGCCGTCGTAAACGATAGCTCAGCAAAGTGGCTCATCATCGTCGTCACGTGGCCAAATACCAGGCGCAGTAGTTAACATCTCCTAGCACCGTGATGATGATGAGAGATGCAAACTCCAAATCTACAGCAGCAGGCGTCTTCAGGGTTGGGATCGAACCCACGACCTCCTGCGTACCAGGCGAGAGAGGTGACATCTCCCGACCACCTTTTCCAGAGACCCATCCCCAACGTGGACATTTGCGGCGGCCAAATTACTCCTCAACGTTCGCTCGTTCGCAGTGGCGGAGCCAGTGGGGGGTGGGGTGGCACTGTTGTGTATATAGGCCTTTTTCCATTTTTTTATATTAATGATTTTGCCAATATTTGTTTTCATATAATCACTCGCGGGGTCGCTGGGAGCACAAACAAACAGAACCCCCCTCCCCCTTTCGAGCAGCTGTCTTATCACTCTCGCAAAGATAATGACACCCTCCCACCAACGGAAACGGTCAGTCATGAAGTCAAATTAAAAAAACACACGCCCCCCCCCCCCGACGAAGGATAACAAACAGGCGTTTCGTTTTGGTTAATTTTTTCATGCTTCTGCTAACAAATGGTAAAAATTCCAAAACTTAGCGACCAAAGATGAAGCTAACATTATCGATCCTCACACTCACTCCACTTAAAAACCAAGCCACAATCTACATCAGTGGATCATTACTCATTTGTGAATTCAATACTAATGTTATTTTCACCTTTAATAATTTTCTACACCTGACCGAAGCATCAAGAATAATTCTAGCAGTCAGGGTTATTCCTAAGCCAAAACGAATCCTCTATCCTCGGGATATCAGATACTAACAAGAAATTTTGGCATAAAAAGAGAGACACGGGCCATACATCACAATCGCAGCTACCAGCGGCAGAAGACGGCGACCATCAGCTCGACAAGAAGACACAGCAGCTCGGAAGAGGACAGCAAGCCAGCTCCGGGGCATGGCCTCGAGAGCAACAATGCGTGTGGTGCATCGCAGAGAAGAGGGGCGAGGTGATGCTCTGTGCTGAGTTCGGCATGGACCGACAGAGTATCGCTGAAAGTTATTCTCAGCGTCAAGCAATCAACCTCTAGAAAGGGCGGAGAGGGCCAAGCATCGGCCAAGCCAGCCTTGTAGAAAACCATCTGCACACGAAATCGGCACCGCCAGAGAGAGACGGAGCAAGAGTGAGTGCGCAGCAGCGCCACCAGCGCCACCAAGCAAGGGTGCCAGCTGCCAAGCGTTGTGCCAACTCGGCTCATCCAGCAGGGGAAAGAGCCTGACCAGCCGCCCGTGAGCAAGAGTGTCAGCGACCAGCGAGCGCGCCGTGGGTTCGACCCACACGCACACCGACCAGCACCAGCTGGGAACCAAGACAAGAGATAGGGAACCAGCCGTCGTTTGTATACCCTCCCCCACCCTCACAAACCCACGACGCTCCCAGCGTTTGCTCACACAATAATTTACCAAAGAGACAATCCAACGCACCCACACAATAAGAAGACTAATTATAAAAGTGCATGAACCATCAGCTGGCCGTGAAGGCATCGCGGCTCAGCGAGTGATAATACGTCGTTTATAAGTACATTAATTTTTTCTTCTTATTTTGTTTTATGTGAATTTACTTCTAATCGCATAAATTACCAATAGATTCATCGATACATGATGAATCACGCTCACAGAGATAACATCGTGTTAAACCCGTTTCTGTAGCATGTAATCTTGTCTACGAATTAATTAAAGCTTAGCCAAAAATAAGAATCTCCCGTAGGAGGGCAAGCACCCCGCTGCACACCCTTATTCCAAGACATTTAGTTAATTATATAATCTTGCCGATGAATCTATTGATGTATACTTTTGCCTTTGGGGTATAATAATTTGCTTTTATTGCCTTTCGTATAAATATCGTTGCATGCCTGTTTTAAAGACTCTCCCTATCACCAACTAAGCTCGAGTTATACGGTGGAATTAATCATATGTGCGGTTGCCAAAGTCAAACAACGCAACCATTGATGGTTAAATGTACTGCTCACTGAGGGAAATTTCCCCGATGGTACCGGGGGTAATTCCAAGCATGAGAGTTCGCATATTAAAGTGTCATGTTTTTGTTTATAGTTAAAATTGCTTAACACAGAAGTGTTTGAGTGTTTCCTTCTTGAGTTCATGCCTAATAATCTTAATAATAAGAACTGTATCCTGCGGTGAGATTTGAATTTGGAGACCTGACATAAACACTAATACATAATCAGTAAATGTTAAAGCAGGAATAATTGTAATATAATGATAGATAATACAAACTTAGACAACAAAGCCGAGCTTAATCTAGCATACTTACAGCACACCTGCATAACTTCATACAATTCACTGTATGATCCCGATTGATGATACGACCCTGAGCAACGAAGCGAAGCCTAATTATCATAACTGCCCACATTAGCACAATCACATAAAATAATACGATTCTCTAATTAGCATAATTTATGCACATATTTACATCAAATACTATAATTTCGGATAAATACGCATTTTTCAAAATTTCATTAAATTTTTATTATTTTCATCAAAATGTTCATACCCGGCATATACAACAGCACGTGCCCTCCCCAATGATTCGATCATTATTATTAGTAGTAAATCGACATTTTGCGACACCCACTGCCACTGTGTAGCATATTATTACGTGCCAGGGACTCTATGAGATGATAGGATATTAGTCCATAATTGGCAATAAGTAACGGCAAAGCAGTTATAAGTGACTTAGAATTGTGCGCAGTTGCGTACAGAGTACACTACACATTAGTATAGAGTGTAGTAGCAGTGGCAGTAGCGGTAGTAGTAGTGGTAGTCATGGTGATAGTAATAATGGTGGTAGTAATGGTAGTTAGTGGTGATAGTAGTGGTGGTAGTAATAGTGGTGGTAGTGGTGATCATAGTAGTGGTAGTAATAGTGGTGGTAGTAGTGGTGGTATTAGTGATAGTAGTGGTAGTAGTGATAGTAATAGTAGTGGTAGTGAGAGTGGTGGTAGTAGTAGTTAGTGGTGGTAGTAGTGGTAGTAATAGTAGTAATAGTGGTGGTAGTAGTGGTAGTAAGAGTGGTAGTTAGTGGTGGTAGTAATAGTGGTGGTGGTAGTAGTTAGTGGTGGTAGTAGTAGTTAGTGGCGGTAGTAGTAGTGGTAATAGTGGTGGTAGTAGTGGTAGTAAGAGTGGTGGCAGTAGTAGTGGTAGTAGTAATAGTGGTGGTAGTAGTAGTAATAGTGGCGGTAGTAGTGGTAGTAATAGTGGCGGTAGTAGTGGTAGTAATAGTGGTGGCAGTAGTAGTGGTAGTTAGTGGTGGTAGTAGTAGTGATAGTGGTGGTAGTAGTAGTGATAGTGGTGGTAGTAGAGAGGGTAGAGGGAGAGAGCGAGGGAGATAAGACGCGGTTCAGTGATGGTGCAGAACAGACGTTTCGGCCTCAACCACCTCTACAGCAGCAATGCCGCTCAAAATACACATCGTTTATTGTTGGCGCCTGAGGGTACCGAAGTCGGTTTCACCACCTCAAGGATGAACTTGCAACCGAGTTCCCTGGAGAGATAACTGGTGAGGGGACCCCGACGCAGACTGGCTTCCTGGAGGTGCAGATTGTGGGAGGGAAACTTCTCCACTCCAAGGCCAACGGCGATGGGTTTGTAGACTCAGATGAGAAGCTACAAAAGATCTTCTTCAGTGGAGTGGAGAAAGCCCTCGAAAAGAAGTAGCCAGAATGTGTGGAAGCAGAAGCATGCTTTGCATATTCTTGGTTCTTTCGGTAAAGTCACCACGTAGAACGAAAACAATAAAATAATACAAATATAAAACAATACAATTCTCACGACGTTTCGACTGCAACACAAGCAATCATCATCAGGTGTGAAATTTTCTTGCTGTGGTTTTCACACATGATGATGATTGCTTGTGTTGCAGTCGAAACGTAGTGAGATTTTATTGTTTTATATTTTTATTATTTTATTGTTTGCCTTCTACTTTACCGAAAGAACCAAGAATATGAATCCCTGCAGTCACTAAAGCTTTAAATCAAAACATGCTTTGCTTCTTAACAGAGGTAAAGGCTTGTCTGTGTCACTGGTTCTAAAGAAATGTATTGATGTTAAAATAATGTATGATTCAAAGCTAGCACATTTATAGTAAGAAATCAGTCAGCATGTGTTAAATAGTCCACTGCTGTACACACAGCTTTTGTTAAACTGGCACAAGAGCAAATGTAACTTTTCATTGAATATTTTTATATGAAAATAATATCTTACATTAGCACGTACAATTTGTTTTCTGGGAGTTTATATATATCCAAATTATTAATCATTACCAACAAATGTACTTGGTTTCCACGTCTCATTTGCTCTTTTTTTAAAGTTGTCTAAAATGCAAACACATCCTTTGTTCTGATTAACAGCTCCATAAATCTTTAAAAAAAATCTAGATTTTTGTTTTAACCACTGCCTGCTCTTGCTCTCCATTGCCTTAATCGTCGTAAAAATGGGTTTGTTTCATACTTTGCTGTCGTGATAACTTCCTCTTGTTTTGTGGCCCCCTTTGGTGACAGCTTTAACAGGACTCGTGGTCGTTTCACCGTGAGCCGGCGTCGGATGAAGGAGATGGCTCTCAGCGCCCTGCCACGATGAACAAACCACCAACGAGTTAAACTCTTGTCAATCGTCTCCTCTGCATACACATCTATCACTTTGTTGCCACTGGGGAGGAGACGCTGGTATTTTTTTAATTGATTTTAAATTTCACTTGGGGGTAGGTATGTTGTCAATTGTATCGTTTAATTCCCGCGCAGACTCTACTTCGAAATTGGTCTTCAATAAACCCGCGATCTTGATAGAATGCATTGAATCAGAAGACAGACTTTGTTGTGTTTACTGTTCTAAAGTATGTTTTTTTTGTAGTTTTCAATTGTTGGGCTTAACTGTTAACTGTTCCTTCGAAAAAGCAAATAACTGAAAACACGTGTTGCAGGGGTTTAACTTTGGCTAATCATTGTCCCAAACTAAGGAAGTTTTGTTGCAATGGCATGCATACATGTCCTAATTGGTATTGGCAGTAAACACAATGCATTCAGAGTCTTCAATACATATAAACATTCAGGAGTTTCAAAAACCATTCCGGACTGGGCCAGTCTGATATTTGACAACACGTTTTTTTTTATTGAGCATACATTGCACTATTTATATCAACGTTGATTAGCCAAAACCAATTTCAAGTATGCTGCTGCAGTGGAGTCGTCGTGCAGTGCATTTCACGCAGCTGAAAATAATCCCACACACTTGGTTCCCCTGATTACAACGGAGCCATTGACATTAGCAGTGTCGCCTACTGTATTACAGTGAAGCTACACTGTACTCGGCAGGGATTTTGTCTTAACGCCTATGTACAGTGAGGGAAAAAAGTATTTGATCCCCTGCTGATTTTGTACGTTTGCCCACTGACAAAGAAATGATCAGTCAATCATTTTAATGGTATGTTTATTTGAACAGTGAGAGACAGAATAACAACAAAACAATCCAGAATAACGCATGTAAAAAATGTTATAAATTGATTTGCATTTTAATGAGGGAAATAAGTATTTGACCCCCTCTCAATCAGAAAGATTTCTGGCTCCCAGGTGTCTTTTATACAGGTAACGAGCTGAGATTAGGGGCACACTCTTAAAGGGAATGCGTCCTCCTCGGTCTCAGAGTCCCTGGAGAAGCTCGCGGTCGTGACGAGAGCCATCACCAGGGAACGCGTCCGTCGTGAACGACGCCCTCGAGAAAATTCTGATGGACAAACCATTGGGCTGACGAGCTAAAGAAGTACTTGACAGACTTTCCCGCTGAATAATTCTACATGGAGAAGACTCAACCCTCAATCGTTGCGAGTCTACTGCCAAATTGCTCGTCACAATTTACTTTACAGTTACGAGCCGCGAGTAAAAAAAAATAGCATTTCGTGCAAGTCGTGTTTTTCGAATAACAAACCTTGCCAATGTATACAGGAGATTGTAACTTTCAGTTATTTTCATTTAAAGATGTATAAAAGGTTGCAGACCATCAAACACCGAATTCTAAAAAAAGGAGAGAGAGGGAAAGAGAGAGAGAGGGAGAGAGAGAGGGAGGGAGAGAGAGAGGGAGAGAGAGAGGGAGAGAGAGAGAGGGAGAGAGAGAGGGGGAGGGAGAGAGAGATATGGGCAAAGTGCACACCAGGCTGTTGTGCCAACAATACACCTGGGGGAGCACCAGACTGAAGAACGCGGACATCACCGACATGGAAGCCCGAGTCCTCAATTTGGAGGGTCGCCTCGCCGAGGACAGCGACCCTGCTCTTCTCCAAGAATACGAGGAGAATAGGGAGCGTCTCAAAGGGCTACATGAGGAGCAGACGAGGGGAGCGTTTGTGCGATCCCGGGTGAAGCTCATCACGGACCTCGACACGGGATCCCCGCTTTTCTACTCCCTCGGGAGGCAGAATGGGAGACGCAAATCCATGGAGTGCCGATTTGATGGTGACGGTGTCCTGGTGCACGAACTCCAGCAGAAGTCGACCATCATCAGAGACTTCTACGGCAGCCTGTTCTCCCCTGAAGAAACATCGGAACCGGCCCAGGCGGAGGCATGGAGTGGTCTACCCACCCTGGGGGAAGACGGGAAAGAGCTGCTAGAGCAAAAGCTCACCAGGACTGACCTTGACGCAGCTGTAAGAGGACTGGCCCCAAATAAATCCCCAGGGTTAGACGGCCTAACAGGGGAATTTTACGCCGCTTTTTGGCCATCCCTGCGGGAGGACTACAGAGAGGTGCTGGAGGAAGCCTCAGTCACTGGGGTGATGCCTCAGTCTTGGAGGAGGGCGGTGCTCACTCTGCTTCCCAAGAACGGAGACCTGAGGCACCTACAAAACTGGCGTCCGGTCTCCCTCCTGAACACAGACTACAAAATATTGACGAAGGCTCTCTCCCTGCGACTGAAAGGGGTGATTGCACAAGTCGTACACGGGGACCAGTCCTACACCATCCCCAGACAAACCATCCACGACGGCATCTTCCTGGTCAGGGACCTCATCGCGGTGTCCCAGAGGTTGGGCATCCCAATTGCGTTTCTTGCTCTTGACCAGGAAAAGGCTTTTGACAGAGTGGACCACAAGTACCTGCTGGGAACCCTCAAGACCTTGGGTTTTGGGGATGCCTTTGTCCGAACGATCCGCCTACTCTACACCAAGGCGGAGTGCATGATCAAGATCAACGGCGCCCTCACTGCCCCGGTCAAATTCGAGCGAGGAATGAGACACGGATGCCCATTGTCGGGCCAACTTTATGCCCTGGCATTAGAGCCTTTCCTGAATCTCATAAGGCGGAGACTCAGCGGCCTGGTGCTGAGGGAACCAAGCGTCAAGTTGGTCCTGACGGTATACGCCGACAACGTCCTCCTCATCCTGCGCTCCCTGGCTGATGTCGCCCTGCTGCATGAGTGCCAGGAGGTCTTTTCGAAAGCCTCTTCATCAAAGATGAACTGGCAAAAGTGCAGCGGCCTGCTGGTTGGAGCGTGGGACATGACCGAGTGTCCCGAGAAGGCAAAAGCCATCAATTGGAGCACAACATCGCTGCACCACCTGGGGGTGTTCCTCGGACCAGAGGAGGAACCACCGCAGAGGAACTGGGTCGAGCTGGAGGAGAAGGTGAAGGAGCTGCTGGCCACCTGGAGTCGCCTGTGCAAGTTCCTCACCTTCAGGACAAAGACGTTGGTGGTGAACCAGCTGGTGACGTCCATGCTGTGGCACCGACTCTTCTCCCTGCACCCCCCCATGAGCCTCGTCAACGCACTTCAGAAGCGAGTCCTCGACTTCTTCTGGTCGGGTGGAGGACACCGGGTCGCGGCTGGGGTCCTGGCCCTGCCACTGGACGAGGGCGGTCATGGGCTGGTGTGCGTGCGGAGTCAGCTGGCCACCTTCCGACTGCAGGCAGCGCAAAAGTTCCTGCACGCCGCCCCTGCACCGGCCTGGAGCGTCACGGCCTCCTTCCTCCTGAAACAGCTGGGGGGTCTGCAGTGCTCCAAGTAACTATTCTACATGGACCTGCAGGGCCTCCCACTGGGACAGCTGCCACCCTTCTACAGAAGCGTCCTGCAGACATGGAGCTCCCTCGCCGTCAGGAGGCTGAACCAACTGCAATCGGCTGAGGATCTGGTCTTCGAACCGATCCTCAGGAACCCACAGACAAAGCTGCCATCCACCACCACCACCCCTGGCATGGAGAGGCGCCTCGCCAACGCGCGGCTCACCAGGATGGGAGATCTGGTGGAGCCTGAAACAAGGGGCCGGTGGTTCGGACCAGCAGACGTGGCTGCAAAGACAGGGCTGCAGTCGCTCCGGGTGGTTGCCTGGATCCTGGCCGAAGCCAAAGGGGCCTTCTCAGCGGCAGCGGGGAGAACGCCCCCCATCGGCGTTGGGGATGACGAGGCCCCTCTCGATCCCCCTCCACCGGAGCTCTCAGTCGTGCCACTGCATCGCCAATGCCGACAAACGAAGGCGGATCACAACCTGTGCCGGCTAGAAGACCTACCGGAGGTGGCCTTCGCAAATGTAAAGAGGAAGGTGCTCTACTCCTACATGGTCCGGTTCCACCAACAGGACACCCTGAGGAGCCACAAGGACCATGCCTGGAGAGAGGGAGAGAGAGCGAGAGAGAGCGAGAGGGAGAGAAAGAGGGGGAGAGAGAGAGAGCGAG